CCTGAATTCATGGTTTAATTTTTGCAAGAGAAAATATATTTGGCATATTTTTATTATGATATGTAACACCCTCAAAAAAATATTCCCTTTTTTAATGAAATGAGAAACTTTTTACTTTGAGACGGTTAAGCTATAACAGAATACAGCAGGACAGGATATATGACAACACAGCCAAAGGTTGCTCGTGGTCACTCTTGTTAAATTTAAACAACTGTGCAAGTAGACAGACTTCTATGTCAGCCAGTTTGGGTTTTGTTCATGTACCTCCAGTGCATAAACATGCTAACACAAAACTCGTTTAGGGCTCACTCAGCAGAGGTCCAAGAGCTCCAGAAACACTTTTTGTTTAAAGATAAACTTAGATAAACTACGATTGACCATTTCGGCTTATGGCCTTCATCAGGGTCATCTGTTAGGGGACATATTATGAAAATTTATTTTAACAGTGTTTTTGAACATATATTTGGGTAACCTGAGTGTCTACCGACCCACAAAATGTGAAATAAACCCATCCAGTCCTTTGTTTGTGGTCCGCATAAGTCTTACAACTCAGAAAAGTGCTTAGTTTAATATTTTCTCTAATTGTGATGTCACGGTGGGATTCTGGTAAAAAAAAAAAGAAAGCTTGACCAAAGCACAGCACAGATGTTTCATTTAGACCATAGGGGACTGTTTGAAAAGGTGGAAAAGGTGTATAATATGTCCTCTTTAATACACCACCGACCAAGCAGCGGGAGCAACTTGGGGTTAAGTGTCATGCCCAAGGACATGTGGCTGCAGGAGCTGGGGATCGAACCCCAGACCTTCCAGTTAACACACGATCGACTCGACTAAATGAGCCTGGGGAATTTGAGATTTGTCTTTTTGTGTCTCCATTAAAGTGGTATGATTCAGTTGAAGAAGATTGAGATATGTGCCTTTCATGAATCTGACTAACTACATGACGAGTGGCACAATAAATAAACTAAAGCTGTAGTTGTATTCCACTTGGTTAGGACTGACAACACACGTATAAGCTAACCTCAGCTGCTTCATTTCATCAATGGTCTCTTGGCCTTGTGCTAGTACTGGTGGTGAGAGTGGTTTCATCATGGTGAATCACAATGAAAAGCACTGTACACTCTTCACAACAAGGCATGCCAGGGTTGATACAAACCAAGGTGATTTCATCAGCCTGTATGACATCTTACACAATGGATACACCCACCACAGCAGCAGCTCCAATGCTGGTTCAACCTTTTTCAAGTTGTGTGTTATGAGGTCTGTGCACCATGAAGAAACTTTTTGTTTTTAGAAACCCTATGTTTGCTGTCTATAAGATGAACTTTGGAGGAAGCTGTTGTTGCAAGGAGAGGGAAAAAATATCCCCACTTATTGAATCTTTAACACTTCTTCTTCATTTTAGAAGAGCTGAACAGAAATGAGTCAACCACAACACCATTTGATTTATTTTGTTTTACACAGGGATGGTCAAGGCCTAACTTTTCGTTGTGCCAATTTTATACTTGAATATAGTTTTTACTTAAAGGAAAATACACATTGATTTTGGCATGTAAACTTGAACAGAGAAATTGGTGAATGATATATTTTCCACAGCTGACACTCCTGATAAAATCCACAAGTTTTAAATTAAAGCCTGGTGGATTTCATGGTCGAACCATGGTTTGAAACAAAATACACTGATTACAAGTATGTTGCACTGCAGTCGATGTTCCATTGTAAAATAATGTGTGCGAAATCTGTATAAAATAACGTTATCAGATACTGTGGTAAGGATATTGCACAGTAAACAGCAACACCAACTGTTCTTTTATTAAACACAAGACACCCTGTGCAGATCAAGATTGTGGTGTTGTTGTCCATCTTGTTCAGCAGTTTCAGAGATAGCAGTTGTATTGATGATTGATGAGGAGCAGAGGTCAGGGGAAGAAGCTCTGGATGTTTTGGCTCCAATAGAAGGGAGCGTTTGGAAGATGCTGTGAGGGAGAGGTCAGTAATTGTGTTTGACGAAGCTTTCTTGGGACTGAAGAATTCGATATTCTTGAGACTGAGAAGTTTGGTGGCAACTTTGGCTTTGGCTACTCTTTTATTTGTTTGGTCAGGTCTTATCCCATGCGGTTCAAACTTGGGTCATGTTTTGCTTAATTGTGGACAAGGTGACCAGCTGTTGTGTACTCAGCTGCTCACGAGGTGCATCCCTGATGAGTCATATTAACCCAGAAGGCAGATTGTAGCCTTTTTGAATATGAAACCTTCACATTGTGTCTTGTCACAGAGTTGTGTCATGTTGTATTCATTCAGCTTGTTTGATTTTGTTTTTCACTTCACAACATCATGTCATGTTTTTCTTTGTCATGTTGTTTCCACGCTGATGGAAAATCTGTTAAATTGAGAGACCAAGAAAGACATGATCTACAAAGTCCTCAAAAAATGATGTTTCTAGAAATGTGCTGAAGGAAAGTTTGTTTTACAAAACAGGTGGGATTGTATGAACAGAAATAGGAAACAAATTATCAGTGCCAAGTTCAATAAATAATCAATAAAAAGACAAAAGAAAAAGAGGGTTTGTATGTTAAATGATTCATACTTTCCACCTGACAATGATAGGAAAGGATAGAAATGACATTCAGTGACGATGATAACTCTGAACACCTACATTAAAATAAAAGATGACAACATCAAACCACAAATCTAAAATAAATTGTGCAATATAGTACGCAAACTGTCAGTATCACACAGCTTCACATCATTGAGTACATCTCACTCATTCTAAAACTTCATGGATTTAAACCTCATTGGATTCATATACGTGATACATATTGGCAGATGACTCGCTGTTGTTTGGATGGTGCGGTAGATGTTTTCTAGCGTGTTTAAGCATCTATTAAATTTGCTCTTAAAGGTGTTTTAATGTTTAAAAGAGTATGTAACTCTGACATTTAGCGTTTACAATGGGTACTGCAGTTCAAGTTTAAAACATTGTAGAGAGCTGTCCCCCCCCCTCTCCTCTGTGGAGTCAATGCGCGAGCAGGTTGCCATGTTGAAGACACTGAAACTTCAGTGTTTAGCCAACTTTGCATCAGTCTTGAAACCTTTCTGCGCTTTAAACACTCCATATTTCAATTGCATCTTTCATATTTATCCTGGTTTTACCATGTTGATCATGGAGTTTATTAAAATGCGAAGGCTTTTTAGGTCGTGTAGAATGAGTTATATCTGAACCAGTTTGCTTGCCGGCTTATATAGCTGCTACACCTGTTGTTTTGCGGTTTGCCTGGCAAAGCAAGGGGCTTCAGAAACGACCATGTGGGGGTTCCTTCAAACCACCTACCTTCTCTGGTCAAAATAAATACAGATCATTTAGGGCCGGAATCAAAACATAGGAGGAGGTTAACTGGCTGCATTCTTGCCAGAGAAGTCAGAATGTCAACATAGCATGTTTCCTAAATGTCTGCTGACATAATAAGGTCACTTTATGATTTGATTTAGTAGATATCTTACATATTGGTCCTTTAAATGATGCAAAACAATCCTAAATCAGTTTTTAGAATCCAGCTTCATTACAAGGAGAGATTCTTTAACAGCTTGTGCTAACCAAGAGACCAGAAGCTCTGAAATGAAGATGTTAACTGTAGATTCTATGTCCTCCAACAGTATCTGTATCAACTTCCAAGCTATCACAGTTACTCCAGAGTCATGTTGACGGAATCTTCCGAAAACACACTGGCCAAAGGCAAACTTCAGTGCATCCGAGGTGCATATGAGGTGTTTGAGGCAGTCAGACATGAGCCTTTCAAAGGTCTTCTGACATCAAAGCCTCTCCGTCCTGTGATCCTACTTTTAAGGACTGTGGGAATAGAAGACAGGAGGAGTTTAGAGGTCTAGTGAAAGACGCCCTTAGTTCCCATCTTCAGCAGTAGAAGCATTTCAGTTGATAAAAGATGCTTTGTTTTTTAGAAGTCCAGGGATACAAGGTTTAAAATTCTGTATTCAGTGCTCTATAGCTACACAATTTCCTTTTCTGTCTATCAGTCTTTTCTAAATGATAGTGGTTCATCCAGCCCATTCTCTCTGCTCTCACTTCGTCCACAGGCATTACATCTATTCTGTCAGCCTCTTATGAAGCGTAAATACGATGACATGGTACATACTCTATTCGCTGCCCATTTCTCCCCTTCCTCCATCCCTTTGTCCACCTCTCCTCTTTACACCATGTGCTCATGTAGATTAGGGTTGGCATTTGCTTTCAGAATACACATGCTGGGTCCGGTAAGTAAAAATGTAAGTCCCAAGCCGAGGCCAACCGTAGGTAAACTGAATGCAGACTTGAGCCTAGCCACCAAGGAACTCTAAGCTAGCTTGGCTCGACATGCTAGCTCTTCAAATTTTTGCTAATCTGAATCTCCAAGCTCCTGGTTTTGTCTTGCTTTGCAGACTCTAACAAAGAGTTTTGGAGGCTTTTTTCCCCCTTTTTTTTTCCCCCAGCTCAACGCAGAAGGAAAGACGCTTTAACAGCCTGCAGGTTCTCTAGGTATCTTTCCGCACTCAGGTTTTGATTGCTTGCCCAGGGGCTCAGGCAGTATTACCATAGTTATCTCGCCACACCAAACGCATACCAGCCCTCAAAGCCTTCTGAGCTGTCTGCCATGCCTCTTAATTTGCAACATAAGCAGATAAGTTCAAAAAGGATAAAATACCTGAACCTGTTTGACAACAAGATTAAGGTCACACACGGAAAGGTCACAATGATGACTGTCGCCACCAGTTCAACATCAATTCATATTCCAGTGTTTCCCCTACCATTATATTAGGGGGGACAACAAGTGTTTGTGTCGGCGTATCGGGGAACCCCCCCAACGCTGTAAACCTAGGGGAAACACTGTATTCCGTCATTTCCTGTCCATACACAAACTCACAAAGAATTTAGCAATACATACATAATCATACTCGCCCAATTCTACGAGCATTTTATGATGTTGTACTTTTTCTGTGTCCTTCAGACTCTCATGGGATGGATCTGTTTGCGGTTGCGGTCCATGAGTTCGGTCATGCCATCGGCCTTGTCCACACATCAGCCATGGAGTCCATCATGAGGCCGTACTACCAGGGTCCAGTGGGAGACCCTCTGAAGTACGACCTACCCTATGAAGACAAGGTCCGCGTCTGGCAGCTCTACGGTACGAGGGAGTATTTACTCAACTTTCTATGCGCGTAAAAAAGAGCAAGGGGTTAATTAAATTAGTCACAGTTCCATCCGAATTTCCATTAATAAATCTGCCGGGAGTCTACAAAAAGTGCCCACATATAAAAATGATATTTCAGTAATTGATTTGTACTGGGGAACATGCTGTCGGAAATGAAACAAAGTGGATATTTAACTGTGAAGGTCACACTGTAAATGGATGTAACAGCATGTGTGACATTTATGGGAAGTGGATTTTTAACAGTGGATTTTTTGACCCTTGTCATTATATACAGAACAAATTCTCCTCTTATGAACAAGAACTTTAGGCTTTACTTCGTACTTGCTAAATAGTTGTTTTTTTCAGGATCAAATATGTAGTTTTTTTTGCCTCTCCTCCACTTCTGATAATTGCTGTGAAGCCTCAGAATGTGTGTTGAGATAGATTTTTACCCATATCTGCATTCACAGAATCTTCTTCTATACTCCACTGACCATGACTCACGAGTCTCTGCTTTAATTGCGCCTTTCTTGGTGCGCGGTGGAAAGAGCCACAGTTCAGCAGAGTGAAGCTACAGAGGCCTCCTCACGCAGAAAGCAGCGAGTGATGAGCGCTGTAGAGCAAGGTCATTGATTTAATGAAAACATGGATGGAGTTAATTGGACCTCAGTATGGCATGTGAACTACCACACCACTCAGTGATGGGGGAAATGAAACAGAATGTTGAACACATGAAGAGATGAAGTGAAGTATGTTAGTGAAGAAAGAAATAAAAGATACAAAAAGAAGGAAAGAATGATGCGCAGTACGTGCAATTTCATACAAGTGTACAAGAAAGTAATAGGGCAAATTTTAAAGAATTTAATGAGTGTTAAATAACGTGTTTTGTACTCATTTGAGGTGATGTTTAACTTCCCAGGTGTCAGAGACTCAGTGTCCCATACTAACCGACCAGGCAACCCATCCCAGACAGCTGAGCCTCCTGTTCTACTAGACCTTCCTGAAAACAGATCGACTTTCCTGTAAGTAGACACACATTTAGTCTGCATCTATTGGATGTAACACAATGTAAAAAAGAAATACAGAACCATCCTGTGTGAAATCAACTGCCATTGTTCCTCAAAAACCCCCTCAGTCGATCTCCAGTGGCCCTATCACAATGCCTCCTAATTCCAACGAGTGATACAACTCTAAGAAAACTCAAAATCCTGACGGTTTTCTAAGAAAGTCCCCTTAACGTTAAGACTACATCCTGGAAAAGATATGTTATTCACCAAGCATCTGAGCCCTTCAGAGAGGTCCTAAGGTCAAACACAATTAGGAGTAGTGAAGAGGCCTTTTAAGACTGTTTAAGACTTTCTTATGGAGAGGAGAACGCAGCAGAAAAGAAGAAAGGTGATAACACATACAATAACATCTCTGTCACAACCTCATGTTAATATCAATACAATGAAGGACTAAATTATATTTCATTATTATTTATTAACTATTTTTAAAATTATTGTAAATAAACTTAAGCAAGTAAATATAAGGGATACTGCAAAGCATGACCACAGAGAACAAAAGGAGTTCAGACGGGAGTCTTCATTTAAAGTATTTCCAGTCATAGCTGGGCTAAAGAGACAAACATGATTAATACAGACCATCTTGGACTTTCTTCACATGCTGATATAGGCTAACTCTCAACATGTGAAGAGGCTCTGCACAAGTAGGCATGTGTTTTCAAAAATGTTGTAAGCCATATAGAGTTGATATTTAAAGTATCTTACAATTTAAACAACAGAGAAGTTCATTACATAAAAAAGAAGTTAATGAATACACAATGTCTGACTAGAATCTATGATTACTCCGACTGATTTCATTGTCTTCTGACTTCTATGCTCATATCACTTAAAGATATTCACTTTTTCTTGCTTTTTGGATCAACCAATCACAGCCTTGGAAAGTAATTGTGCCATACCTAGCAACAGGGTAAACCACACCTCCTTTTTAAGATAAAGAAAATGTTGGGCCGTTCCTCGCTCAGAGTTGCTCTGAGGATGTTTCTTAATCACTTCTTGAACTTGCTAGAATTTTTTAAGCTAAACCTTCTCAGAATTATTGTGAATACGGGCCCAGGACTTTCCCTTTATGCCTATAGAAAGCAGTGACCGTGCATCAATAATGTTTCAATATCGTTGGCTGTCCATTCTGCTTTCACATGACAATGTCGGGGTTGTTCTTGCCAAGGGGTGCAGCAAAAATGAGTGTCAGTGAAATCTTTTGCCACCAAACTGATTCTGCTCAGGACATATCTCATGAGAACAAACTGTGTGGCTGTTTGATACATTTTATGTCTTTAATTGACAAAGGTGGACATGCAAATAAACATCAACAACAATCACTTTTAACCTTTATATGTATTTTATGCTTTCCTGTTTTCAGATGATAGGAAATCCTCAACTCGTCACAAAGTATGTGGCTACAGTAAAAGTTATACAAGAAGTAGATTTATATCCATAAAAAACAAATTATCTTAATCTGCCTTGTGCAGGTGGTATTTATTGCTGGGTAGTCATATTGGATCCCATTAAATGGAGATGTCTATTTTTCTGATGGTTTCCTGAGTATCATTATATTTATATTATGATTGTTTCTTAATTTCCTCCCCACTCTTACTGAGAAACAATGTAATGAATCCATGCAGGAATACATTTATTGTTAAAAAGTTTTTTCTTTTTTTTTTAAAGCTTGATATTAAGTCATGAGTTGCCAACAAAGCAAATTAGCTAAGAAGCTGAGGGTGAGCTTGGGAGCCTGCCCGTCTAATTAAGTAACTCCCCAATGCAAGCTGGGCAGCCATCAGCCTCCAGTTTTGTCAGATTACTGAGGATAATTAGAGTTAATTTTGTCCATTTATGTATTACGAGTGTTCAAACACTCTCTCATACACAAACCACCAAGCACTAACCTTAAAGGAGCCCCCGAGAGGTCCAGAGAAAGGCTTCATAAAAATGTCTTAGTTCTGAAGGTCTGAAATTCAAATTGGTTTCAGAACACCAGCAGTAGAGAATAAAGAATAACAAAAAAACAAGGCAGCACGGAGAGGGGTGTCTACACCAAACAGGCAGTGGTGGATAATTAACCATCTTTTGTTCCCCAGTTGCAGACTTCCACTGCCTTCATTAATAATTTACCACTGAATCCATCAGGTCACGACGCGTGAAAAAGCTGGATTAGGCCTGACAAGGGCACCTGTACTGACCGATAGGCGATGGTGTAGTGTTAATAGAGCTCTCAATGGAGACCTTTGTTGGTAATATAAGGCCTGGCGGGCTCCCACTCTCGACCCTGTAGTGCTAATGGCCTCATCATTTGCAAGCGGCCCACGTCAGTGCTTTAAATCACTTAAAAACCCTTGGGGGTAAAAGCACCCAGGGACCTTGGCGTGTTAGGATGATAGCATCTCCTCTACTGTTTTAGCCTGGTTTCACTGATTCGTGCAAAGGATGCCAGTCGACGGCAAAAGCATGAAATCACGATCTACAAAAAGAGCCTGAAAAAGAACTTAATGAAGAAAACAAACAATTAAGCCTTTCTTCTCTATAAGTATGTTCTCTTATCTTTTTTAAATGCTAGGTTGAATCATCAGACTACAGAAGCATGGTGTGTAGTGTTCAAAGATTTAAGGAGTAAATGTCCAGTTTTACACAAGAGCTTCTTGTTTTCCTCTCTTTTCAATCTTCCCTCTTCCTCTTTTTCTACGTTCCTCACATCTCTCTCAGGCTGGCGCGAGATGCCCCCGACAGATGCACCAGCCACTTTGATGCAGTGGCCCAGATTCGAGGGGAGGCCTTCTTTTTCAAAGGTACCGAGTCACAGAGGGAGACAGACGCAGAGCCACAGAGCTGTGTGGGGAGAAATAAAAAGAAATTAGCTAAATGAGCGGAAGTAGGAGGAGGGAGAGCAAAGTAAAGAAGGAGAGAGAGAGAGAGCGAGAGAGAGAGAGAAGGAAAAGGGACATGCATTAGAGAGTGGGGTGGATGTAGACACCCAGCTGAGCCTGTTGAGTCCTGCTGAGAGACCGCAGTCCAAAACGTCAGGCTTTCATGCTGCCCCTCTGGAGGAATGACCCGAAGTGCCACGCTGACAACAGAAACAAAAAGCAGACTGCAGCCTTCAGCAGCAGATGTCTTAGCAAAATATGCTGAACTTTAACTGACATTTTTTTTTACCTTTTTGAATATTTTATACAACTAACAAGAGATGACATTAAAAGTTTATAGATCATTGTTTCAAGAATATTGCCCTTTGCATGAAGTCTTTTCAGACATTTGAATAAATAAAGATGTAGATGGGGTTTTTTACTGCATTCCAGATATACCTATTACATAGGGGATGTTGTTATCCTCATGCAACTAAACCTGAATCCTTCAGACACATGACTTAACTTTTAGTCATTTTTTGATGCACAGCGTTATGTATTTTTCATGCTTTTAAAAACTCTTTTTCAGTCAGCCTTGGGCCTGTTCTGAACTACCACATTCATTTAATAAAGCTGCTACAGGTAAAAACAACAATGCACCAGATGCAAAGGAAAGTAAATAGATCATCCCTCTTGGATAACCTTGATCTTAGCTCATATTTGCACTTTAACTCCATTTTGCGCTTCCAACATCAAAACTAGTCAGCCATGAAAATTGACTTTGACATTTGCAGTGCAGGATATTGTTTATAAATCTCCACACACAAATGTTGAAGAGAAAATGAACCATGATAGACTTGACATTGATTTACATTTGCATTGGTCAAGTTCCCACTAAGTTGATGCAAAGGAAATGATATTATAAAAGCCTTCAGATGAGCCGTCGTTGTTTGTTATCAGCATCCTAAGTTAGCAACGATTCACTGATCACAGTCCTGTTCCCCACAGGAAAATACTTTTGGCGACTAACTCGAGAGAAGCACCTGGTGTCTCTGCGTCCGGCTCAGATCCATCGCTTCTGGAGGGGCCTCCCAATCAACCTGGACAGTGTGGACGCTGTGTACGAGAGGCCAGGGGACCACAAAATCGTTTTTTTTAAAGGTACATTACCAGAAAAAAACTCAGCTCCTGGAATGAGTTTTAAACTTCCTAAAAGTTACACTGGTCAATGTTTTTTTTTTAGTCTCACATATAAACAATATTACTTATTCATTACTTCAGATAGAAACGAAACACTGTTGTAATACACAAAGGTATACATATTGCATTCTACAACAGCATATCTACACTGTGCTTGTTTTGATTGTAGATGACCTGCATTACTTTTTAAAGCTTTATTCATGCAATATTTTAAGAGGCAAGACATCGCTGGGACTTTTAAGAAAATCTTCCCTCTATGTGAAAGGATAAAAGAGCTATACATTTTATTTAAACGGTATAAAAAACAGGGATATTAAATCAAGGACATGTATTTCATTTGATTTAAAATGTAACGCAGCTTTCCTGACAGATAATGTTCCTTTTTGGCTTCATTACAAAATATACTATGCAAGTCTTTTCATTATGTCTTTTTATTATATTGAGTGTGCTTCATATATCTTTTCACATCTTAAGTGAACACTCTCTCTCTCTGCTGTGTGTAATGTATTCATCTATATATTGTAATATAGATTTTCTGTCCACCCCTTCAGGTCTGAAGTACTGGGTGTTTAAAGATAATATCGTAGAGGAGGGTTACCCTCGTCCAATCAGTGACTTCGGCCTCCCCTCGGACGGTGTGGACGCAGCTTTTGTTTGGCTCCACAACGACAAAACCTACTTCTTCAAGGACAACCAGTACTGGCGCTACGACGACCACCTGAGGCGCATGGATCTGGGATATCCTAAAGACAGCACGCTGTGGAAGGGGCTGCCGTCTCAGCTGGACGACGCCATGAGGTGGTCTGATGGTGAGTGATGCCACAACATTTCTGTTTTCCATTCAAACACTCCAGGACTGAATCTTCTAGCTCCTCTCAGGGAATCTGTAGGTTATGTCTGCCATGTTGGGGAATATATTTCCCCTTGTGGGTCCTTGTCACCACTCAAAGAGAGGCGATTGTTGACTCCTCTTTCAAACTGACACATAGAGTAAAAGCAGTCACTCTGCAGGGACATGGACTTTCTCAAACTCAACACAGAGATTCCTGATCTCATTCTTTGTCACTAACCACACACTGAGATTGAAGGTGAAGGTTAACTAATGTAAGCTTTGCTCTGAGGCTTAATGTGTCAGTGTGCTTCAAAAGGAGCACTTTTCAGAACATCAAACAGATGTTGAGACCCGCTTTGGAATGGAAGAAAGCAGGAATGTGGAGATGTGAAAACAGACGCGGGTTTAAAAGCGTTTCTCTTTACATGTAGAGTGAAGTCACCTCACACCACATTGCTAACTCCCAAACGACCCAACTTTCTGTTTCTTTAAGATGATACAATGTTTATGACCATTAGAGAGTCAAAGCCACAGGCGTGTTTGACATTGGGAGAAGGTCCCAGTTTGTCTCTTGCTTTGGTAAGGTTTGGCCCTTGGTTAGGGATGGATTTGTTACTTTACTTAAACATTACTTGTGTGAAACACATGTTGTGCGTGTCACAACCAAAGTCCAACATAAAAATGTTGTCATTCGGGGGGGGCGCGCTGGTGGCGCCCCATGTATTGAGGCTGTCGTCTCGAGCGGGAGGCCCGGGTTTGCATCCCGCCTGTGGCCTCTTTCCACATGTCATTCCCCGCTCTCTCTCCCTGGTTTCCGACTCTATCCACTGTCCTACCTCCCTGCATTAAAGGCACAAAAGCCCAAAAATAAATCTTTAAACAAAAAAAAAAATGTTGTCATTCGAAGGAGATATACTTTATTAATCTCATGAGGGGAAATTCAACTTTACACTCTGTTGTTGAACAAATAGGCTGAAACACACACGCATGCACAAACAGGATCCTATGGACATGCACTTATGGAGAGATGTCAGGGAGAGGGGGCCGCCCACTGCAGCGAGCACTACTGAGCTGCTGGGAGTTTGCTGCTTTGCTCTAGGGCAGCTCAGCAGTGCTCGCATGAGTGTGTATGAATGGGATTAGTTACTTCTGATGGTCACTTTACATAAGTAGCCTCTTCCATCAGTGTGTGAATGTGTAGGTGTAACATGCTGTGTACAACAACAGTACAAACTCATCACACACTCCCACTACAGCCAGAGGCCGCCTTCCACACACTTCTATCCGCCCTAAGAGCTCTCAAAGGCGGACAAACTCATCACACACTCCTGCTCTCAGCCAGTGCCTGCCGATCTGTCGTTTGTAGGATGGAGAATGAATACAGACACACAGACTCCTTCACAGAGTTTCACATGTGTATGACCACTGACCCCCTCTGTAAACATTATGCCGGTAAATATCCAGTGTTTCGCTGCTGCTGATGATTCTCGTTTGTGTACGTACGAGCATGTATGACGAGCACGCGAGGGAGAGCGAGCAACAGGTTACTGGGCAGTTTGCCTAACGGCCTGCGGTATCGCTACAAATGCAGTATTTTTGAAAGTTAAACATCCCTTTAAAAGGACGCAAAATAAGCAGAAGTCACCTTCTTCTTCTGTTTCCTTTAAAACAGCAGCTTCTCTAAAGTACTCCAGATAAATGTATACTGAATAATAAATGATACTATTACAATATTCCATGAAATAAATGATCAAAACTCGACTCCAAAGGTAATCTGTCACCCTGAGTAAAAAGTGTTGAAGGAAGCCAGTGACATTTTTTGACCTCTTCTGTCTTGATTAAAAATGGATTATATTCCTATTCTGATTGATTACATTCAATATAAGTGATAAATCACTGCTGCCTGTTTCTTCCCTTGATAAATGATTACATTTGTCAGAGAGAAATAGAGTTGTAACACTCCAGCAGAGCATCAGACCACTGGTTGCTCTGGAGTTTGCTGGAGCCTAAGGCAAGACCGTGCAATATCCTTCTCAGGGGAAATCCTCAAAGAGGAGTGAATTACACCAGAAAAATGAGAGTCACATAGAGCAATTACAAAAGTTTGCAAATATTCAACTTTTGAATGAAGTTTTATAATAATATATACATTTTATAAGCCAACTTCCTAGGAGAAGTAAACATGGAAGCGCTTGACTCTCAGAATGGTTGCTGTGCTGCTCCTATTCTATATTCCAGTTTAAAAATATTCAGATTGACTTTTGTGGTTTTTACTGAAATAAACACTAAATATAGGTTGCCATGGATTTGGACACATTCTAATTTCATTTCCTCCCACAGTAAAATTCATAATCAGTTTGGTGATTTCTTTCATTTTCATCTCGCACCATCATTTTTACAATACTTGCAAAACAGATGATAAAACTCAAAGTGCATGCTGCCCACTAAATTTTGACATTAGTCATTCTTAGGCCACATGTCCACATAGCTTTTTTTTCTGAGCGCCAGGGTCTTTTTTTCAATTGCTTTCAATGAGCAGCAGGCGGCCGCATGGAGATAAATCGCAGCGTACAGCGTCTTTTTTCCAGGCGCTCTGCCCTTTTTCATGCGGTTGCTCAGAACGCTCAAGTTGAAAACTTTTCAGAAAGGCAACGTTTACGACACCGGTGCTTTTTCCCCAAATGTATGGTATCTCCTGTAGTTTTGCCACCTACCGATCGTGATCACATCTTCTTTGATCTGTGCCCGCTGGGTTGAAAACGATCTCAAATTAAAAAAAAACATGCAGTAAAAAGTAACATAGAGAGGTCCTTGTCAATAGGCTGTTGTCATAGAAACAGGAAGGACATACAGCGCTTTTGTTCACAGCACTCCTCAGCGTACAGCCAGTGCTTTTCTGCCCGGAAATCATACTATGCATTTTTAAAATGTGATTATAGACTTAGACTTAGGTAAGCCTATTAGACAGACTGACAGATGGATGAATGAAGGGATTGATTGATTGATTACAGGGCTAAACATTATGCTCACGTCAGTGTGGTTAGCATGTTAGCATGTAGGTTTTATGCTAAAGGTAGCACACCCTTCCTTTCATACATTGTGTCAGTGTCATAGTGTTACATTATTATGGATCTGAGTTGGATTTCATGGTTTTCTTCATTAGAATAAATCAGTGCTTTTGTCCATCAGTGAAGGTTTAAATCATTTGAAGGCTGTATTGTTTATCATGGGTCTGTTTATTGAGACACTTGAGGCTTTCATCATAAATCATAAAAAGTAACAGGTTGATTATCTTAATACAGTTAAAAAGGGTATAAATTAAAATTGTATTTACTTCTTAGTTCAGTTTAAGTTCTATCTGTCATAGAAAATGATATTACTCTGGAGAAAGAGTATTAAATTAAAGATTTGTTTTCTTTCATCCAGTGGGTTCTGTCATGATATTTATTTTCATTTTGCGTGAGTTTATTTCATTTTGGCAGTCTCCCTGGTTGTATGCCTGCATAATATTTTGTTGGCATAACTGCAGTATGCAGATTAGAGGCACATTTGCATTTCATTGTTTTTTTTTTATAATGTGTCAAAATATTTTTTTAACCTTTTTATCTGTTATTTTGATGCAGCACACATGGTCCTTTTTTGCCAACACGGTTCTCCACACACACACACACACACACACACACACACACACACACACACACACACACACACACACACACACACACACACACACACAGTCAAACACATTCAGACCTTGGAACTGGCCCAGTGTAATCACAGCAAGCAGCTCCACTGTAGCAGCTGAGCGTCAAGGTCGCAACCACTGTTTCCATTAACGAAGCACAGCTACAGTCATCTGAACGCATGTGCACGTTAATGAATGGTGTTAAACTGTCTAACGCCATTTATTTGAAAGACTTTGAGTAAAAGATAGTTTTTTCTGTTAGGCTGTCGTGTTGCGTTTAATGACGCCAGGGAATTTTTACTCTTTTAATGCCAGCCAGAAAGTCTCTTATCCCCCCTGCAGAATGTAAGGAAGCTCGGTCCTGTCAGGTGTTTAGTGCTCTGTGTTCTGTCTTCATCTTGCTCCTAACTCATTTTGATATGTGCACAAAAATCTGTGCTTATGTGTGTGAGTGAGGCTAACTGCACAGTCATAACTCTGCTTCACCCCTCGCCATTATCACCACAGAGCCTGGAGGGGTACACTTTGAACCCAGCACACACAAACACACACACACACGGACACACACAGACCATGAGGCCTGGGAACTGAAGCCACATCAAAGCCTGTTCTCTGTTTGTTTCACCGACACAGGGGGGGAAAGAGAGAAAATAGGAGATGGAAACATACAGGGTGGTGTGAAGGAGTGATATGACAGAAAGGAGATATGGTGACTCCTTGTTTTGACCACAGAACAAAAAGACACAGACCGAGAGAGAAAAAAGACGGGAGACAAGAGTCGATATGGGGACACTTGACGATGAAGAGAAATCATAAAGATGACTGAACACAAGAAAAGATATTAGAAATATAGACGGCTCGACTCAGAGGACAGATAGAGAAATCACAGAGAAAGGAAAGGCTGTAAAACCTGTGGAGAATGGTTCCTGTAAAGGGAGAAAGGGGGACTTAAAGGATAGTAATGTGGCTGTAATAATTATACTAATCATTGCTGCTGATGTCAGTAAGCCTCCCAGGAATGGTTTAGCCTTTTAGTCATAGCCAGTAAAAGAAAGTGAAATGAAATTCATCAGGCGTGAATATTTTCTTTAACCATGAGGAAGTTGAGTTCAGAAGGAACACTATGTTACTATTGTTCTTTCGTTGTAGTGATTCTGGGATTTAGGGTTTAAAATCATGGGTAGTTTAACAGCCCTCTGTCTAGTCAAAAAAACTGAACTAAATCTTCTTTTTTTGAAATAAAGGACTTCAGTGAACTCACCAAAAACATCATCGTACCTGTCCTACTTCAA